CAAGGAGATAGTGTAGTATCAGTTTATTTGCCAAGCCCATATACTTTATTCTAGCTTTTGGCCAAGCTAATTCACCTATACATTGAGTCATATTTTGATCTTGTTAATTATTCCCTTATTATCCTTGACTGTATTTTTATATTAGCGTATATGTTTCCTCTTCGTATCCTATTCATCATATGTCTGTTATTCATTTTTGTCTGATTATAAATATTGAGTAACGCCTGCTCATAACCAGTTGGCTTCCCAGCCATTTCCACTGCATGTCATTTCCGCCTCGTTCACTTCCTTCGCTTATTCGCCTGTTCACTCGCTCGTTATTATTTGCTCAGGTGTTGCTAACTTTCTGACCTGAGTTATTCGACAACAAACTGTAGTTGCTGCTATCCTTTGTCTTCTGATTTTACGCGCCGTTAAGATTAGAATTATATCGGTTATCGAAGTAAACGATTAACGAATCGCGGCACAACAATAGATAGATATTTATGAATATTTCATTATTATCAGAACTCAGTAGCTGAGTGGATAACACGATAGAGTTTGAAGCGAAAGGTGCTGGGTTCGAGTATGAAAGTGAACATCAATTCTAAGATGCAGGTATATCCAGTTAATGAGTTCCAAATAGGACGAAACGTGCGTCCTGGATTCCACTGCTAGCCACTATCTATCTTTGCTTATAATACATGTGAATTAAGACAATATCAAGGCAATATGCACAGTATACACAAATGCTAATTGAAGACTAACCAGTTTCAGTCCTAAAAACATCAATGGGAAGATTCAAACAAAACAATATTAAATATATTTAAAATATTGTTTACATACAAGATTTTGATTGTTGTTAATACTTTGTTAATCAAATAGTTACTTCACTGAACTGTAAACACTAATGGTGATACATGTTAATTTGACAAACAACTTCAGGAATAATGTTTCATGGATTAAAACAGTGAGCAAATATATAAATTGTTATGACTTGACCTAGCCGTCGCCAATTTGTTATGTTTTTGACCTAGGCGGTAGCCAATTGTTATGACTTGATCAAGGTCGTCGCTGATTCGTTATGACCTTACGAATTTGACAAGGACGTAATTCGCGTAAATTGTCCACCAATAGGATACGACTTCTACGACCTTCACACTGTGACAATGACGTTCGATTAGTATGAGTAATCTAGCGTCCTTATTGGCCCTTATCCGCCTAACCCGTCCACTTGAGTCCAGAACACCAATAGCAGTTGCTGTAATGCGAATCGTTTATTTCAAACATACTTTATCTATATACCAGACAGACAGGCCACATCATACCATAAAATAGAAAATAATATTTGTACAAAATCAGGCCAAATGAGGCTGTAAGCGTGAGAGACAATAATCAATAAAACTGAGCATAACATAGGGACAGTAAATCACATAGTAATAATCAATAGGTTAAAATAAAGCTTAGATAATCTAGTTACCGAATAGTTATACAATAAGAATAATAGTCCAATAGTAGGTCCTGCAAGTTACCCGTACTTATGTCTTCGCTACTACATAACATAAATAACTTATACACCGAAGTCAAACAATGTTAAATATACTGAGATACTATCTGACAAGATTTGAACAATTTATAGTTAAATTTTCATAGGAATCTCAAACAGTAATCTACTAAATAACTAATCAAAACTTCCTTAACATTCATGTTTGAATACTAATGTTCACTTCAATAAACTATAATCACATTGTGTATAATAACTACTTATATATTTTCAACAAGAATTCGATAATTATGATTACCATATCCTATGTTGCAATCCAATTCATGATTGATTAGTGAATTTCTGATAAATGAACTATTAGATCACTTATGAGTAAACTAAAAGACATTAGATTTTGTTACTCATTGCCCGACTAAAGAACTATGACAAAATTTGTTCCAAAAACTTCTGAGTTTGGATCAGTTCAATTTTCGATGCTTATTGACGATCTGTTCAATACCATAGACTGTCAGATTTTCCTTCTCAGATAAACAAGTTTTTCAATCCCATACACACTGAAAAATACAGGTCAAGGAAGCCAATGTAACAGCATTCACTAAAACAAGAGGCTTTGTAGTGCTGTGCTTCATTGATCGTTTATTTCGATAACCGTTATAATACTGATGTTAGCGGTGCATAATATCAGAAGGCAAAGAGAAGTGGCAACCACATTTTTATTGATGAATGATGCAGACCAGAAAGCTGTGGACACATGAGCAAGTGTAAGCGAACGAAGCAAAGATGATGCATAGTGGAGATGGCTGGGAAACCAACTTGAGAGCGAAGCTAAATATTGCGTATTGAAGATGGCTGGGAAGCCAACTCCTTATGAGCAGGCGTTACTCAATATTTATAATCAGACAAAAATGAATAACAGACATATGATGAATAGGATACGAAGAGGAAACATATACGCTCATATAAAAATACAGTCAAGGATAATAAGGGAATAATTAACAAGATCAAAATATGACTCAATGTATAGGTGAATTAGCTTGGCCAAAAGCTAGAATAAAGTATATGGGCTTGACAAATAAACTGATACTACAGTTTCAACAAACACAAGAGTAAAAGCAACATCCTCATTTACATCAAAGAGATCGTCAACCCAATCACACATCATAGAGACGCTCTGAATGATATAGAATACTCCACGTACCTAAAGAGCACCATCGATAAACAAGGAGAATCTGATTCAGATACGAAGGCACGGAATCCTAATGCAACACCAGCATTCACACAATTAATAATGTATTGAACTAAAAACAACTGTCTATCTGCCAACATCAAAGTCAGAACCTTCAATACGGAAGTCACGACACTTGATTCTATTGTGCGAAGCTGAAACGTGGGGAACTACCACAACTGTCATCAAAATGGCACAAGTATTTATAAACAATGGTCTACACAAGATGCTCAATATACATCGACTAGATACCACTAGCGAAAACCTACTATTGGAAAAATCAAACCAACTTCCGGCTGAAGAGAGGATTAGGAATAAATGTTATTAGTAGGTGAAACATACATTGTGAAGACTGTTAAACAACATCACGAGGCAATCTGTGACTTGGAATCCTGAAGGAAAACAGAAAAGAGGAAGACTGATTAACACATTACGTCTGAAATTGGAGGCAGACATGAAAAAAATGAATAGGAAATAGAAGGAATTTCCTATGACAGATTTGGTTAAAGAAATCTACTGGGCGGTCTACACTTCTAAAAGGAGCAACAAACATCAGTAAAGAAATTAGTTTGTCTGTCCATATGTTTTAGATAATCACTTAAAAATACCTCAGAAGGGGTTTTGTGGAGATTTCAGTATTTCTCATAGTTGAAATCATGAGCCAATTGAAGTTACACCACCAAGGAAGACCTGGAAGCACTGGATGGCCGTTTCATCTTATTCTGGGACTCCTCAGCAGTGCGCATCCACGATCCCGCCTCGTGCGAATCGAACCCAAGACCTATCAGTCTCGCGCCGGAGAACTAAACCGATAGACCACTGAGCCGGCCGGCATCCAATGTTGTTAATGTCTAACTTCAACCAGTCGACAATGTTTGAGCAATCGTTCACCAATTGTCTTCAGTGAGTTGATATCTCTACAACAGACGTGGTTGAACTCTACTGGTTACTGTTTCTCACTAGAACTCAATGAAATATCTCTTCAAGTCAGTCACTAATGAGCATATGATTATAGATCAGAAGGGGTTTTGTGGAGATTTCAGTATTTTTCATACTATTAAAATCTTGAGATTATGAATATCAGTGCATTATTCGAAAAATTGAAGATTTTCTATTGACGATAAATTTGATTTTTATATATAGTTCAAATCATAAGTCAATTGAAGCTAGACCATCATGGGAAACATGAAAGCACTGGATGGCCGTTTCTTTCTATTATAGGATTTCTCAGCAGTGGGCATCCTTGATCCCGTGTCGCGAGATTCGAACCCAGGACCTATTGGTCTCGCGCCAGAGCGCTTGACTGATAGACCACGTATTGTTCAAAGTAATGGTATATATATATATATATATATATATATATATATATATATATATATATATATATATATATAGAAAGAGAGAGAGAGAGAGACCCGACCGTTGCTGTTACCTTGACGTGGTGGTCGGGCTTGCCTCTCGTGATGAACCAATAGAGCTATACTGGTTGGAACAATCGTTTCTCAAGGTACTACCATACCAGACAGGTCGGTTGAAGAGCAGTAAAACTAAAAGCAGCAAACCCAAGGTCCGAAGGCGAAGTACCGCCAACTGTACAGAGGTGTGACGGCAGTAAGGTGTTTCCTTCAGACAATGCTGCCTTCCCACGTGGAGGAGTGAGGTTAAAAGAGCTCGACCCTAAAAATGCACACCTCGCTTTATCTCACGGATATCCGTCTCCGGCGGTAAGGTCCTTTGGAGAACGGAGCTAACATGTCAAAAATCCCCCCACAAAATGGCTGTGCGTGACCGGTCTCATGCAGTTGTCCCTTGGGTAATTCGATAGAGAGAGAGAGATGGAAAGGGGAGTGCACGTGAAAGAAAAGAGTAATGTTTTATTTTTTTGTACAAAAGTATTTGGTAATACTTCACTGTAAAACAATACGACTAATTTTTCTGTAAATCCTTATGGAACGATGAATGAACACAGAGAAAAAAATTCATTAACAGTGGTTTCCTTTCTAATAGTAGTTATTTAACGCCCAATATATGAATAGACCATGTGATGTTTTTTGATGCAGTCACCAATCGTAATGGCTTCACTCCCTCTCTCTCTCTCTCTCACTCTTTATCTTATATCCTACCTCTGTTAGTTATATTTACCAACCTATTAGCCTGTTAGTAGTTATGTCTTGTATTACCAGTTTGCCCACACTCTTTTCCCCCTTTTTCTTTCTATGTCTTTCAACCTATCTCTCTCTCTGAAGATGCATATAGCTATAGATATATATATATTTTTTTCTATTATTACACAACTGACAATATGATTCCAGTAAGATTGTCGACTGGAAAATCTTCTCTGTTGATTATATATTACTATAATCATTTCATAATGATATGATTATACATCGTGATAAAGAAATCATCGTCTCCCAAAAAAAACCCCAGGAAAACCCAACAATGAAGGGATAATTTCAACCCACACAAATTCCTTCTACTAATCAAATATTTCCCCCAACTATTTATCTATGTATATATCACTATTTTGCATACCTAATGAATGACATAATTGAACTGACTAGTTTAAAGCAAGATATATCTATATTCGAATAAAGAAAATTATAAATTTATATGATTGCTATTAATAGTTTAATAAGCCTTAGCAACTAATTCATAAACTTTCCCTCTCTCTCTGTTATTGTTGCTAGGTTAGTTAGTTGAAACACACACAAACACACACACACACACACACGCAAAAAGGAGAAAGATAACAGGATCCAATAATACACAACTATTTGAATAAACTGAACCATTGACCATCATCAACCTTCATTATTCAATCTGTTTATTAGTATTCATTCAGTGTTTACTTGGCAACTACTTACCAAACTAAATAGATACAGATATATATATTTGTCTCTATGGGATAATTAATAACAAAATGGAATATTGAAATGTACTCAAAATGTATACTGATATTAATATAAGTAATCAATCGAATAATACAAATTTAACATCATTACTTGTAAGGGAACGTTTAAAAAATTGTGTATTAAATAAACGTAAAAGTAAAGAACAATCAATTCATATTAATGATACAACAGTGTTGAATATGGGAATTACACCACAGCAACAAAAACAACAACAACAGCAACAGCAACAAGCTAATCGTGTCATCGATAAAGATTTAACACAAATCAATCAAGAACAATCGATTAGTAATAGTTGTTTAATTAATGATAAATTGAATGGTGCTAAATCTATACACTTTAGTAACCAAAATAGTAATCATAATAGTACTAATGATGGTAATTGTATTACACCATTAATGATAGATGTTGAAAATCTTTCATCACAACAGCATCATCATCATCAAACAAACCCTATCACCTCTTTATCAAATAATACAAAGAAATCAAATACATTACATCAAATACAACATTCTTTATCCAATCATGAAACGGATATTCATTATATGGATTTTCAAAATGTACATACATCTGATATAGAAACAAGTATCTATGGGAATCATCTTATAGAACATAATCATTCTAGTCATCATCAGCAACAGCAGCAGAATAAATATATAGATGAAAATCTACGTAAAACAGTATCAGAGCCAAGTTTAAAAATGCGTAGCGGATCTGGTGGTGTACAAAAATCTCGTTATAAACCAGATCGTCGTCATTACAATCATCATCTTCTTCATCATCATTTTGGAATGAATACAGCAACAGCAGCAGCAGCTGTAGCTGCAGCTGCAATAAATGTATCTAATGATCCATTAGCTATTGTTGGATTATGGCCACAATTAAGTTCAGCATTTCAACATGCAAATTTAATACAAAAAACAGTTAATAAAAAACCATTACAACAATTACAAGATATGAATAATAATAATAATAATAATAGTAATATGTCATCGATAGATTCCGATGAACGATTATCCAAATCAGAAGTGAAATCTTTGACACAATCCATTACACCTTTATCAAAAACTCTTCAAGATGTCATTATAACAGAATTAATGAAAAGAAACCAACTGATAGAGACGATTAACACATGTTGTTCCGGTTCACAACCAATGGATTCATCCATTCCATTTAGAGATTCAAATATAAATCAATCTATATTTAATTCAACAATTAATGGATTTTGTGCAAGTCTACCAAATTTAACAACACAATATCATCGAACAGCAGCATCAACATCATCCTCATCATCAACATCACAAACGAATAATAACATCAATATTAATAGAACAACGAGTACAACAATACCTATAAATACTTCAATATCAACGACACATTATGTAACTGAATCAAGTTTTGATTCGAATGAATTCAATCAACCTGATGCAACAATGTCTGATCTAATCAATATTACTAATAATCCTAATGAATCCAATACAGAATTCAATCAAACTAAACAATTAAATAAACCATTTCATCTATTTCCATATCGTCGACATCAATCAATTGGATTAATTAGTCGTACTAGATCAGCTCCATTAAGTTTAGCTACTGGTTATTCAACAAATTATCGACATATACAATTACAAAATTTAAATAATGTACATAATCTATCAAATTCAATGAATACACCAACATCTGTTACTTCCGCAGCAAATATTTTAGCTATGGAAGCGGCTACAACAAATTTTTGTAATCAAAAACAAACGAATGGATTGAATTCAAATCAATCCATGATAGAGAATGATCAATTAGGAGTACAAAGTAACAATTTACAATCATCTGTAGATAGTGAAGTATCTTCAAGAAGTAAAGTTGTTTTACAATTACGTAAGAAGATTTTAGAAAGGTAAGTGATTGATTATCACTTGTTCTTCCTAGTTAATTCAGTAGTTTTGAATAACTGGATAGATATAAGTTAGAAAATTTTTCATATCATTTTCTTCAGTAAGTTATGGAGGTACTGTAGTGTATTCTACTTATATCAATATAAGTAGTGTATGGTGATGGTCAGATATAGAATGTATTTTGGCAGAAGATCGATAAGAAACGAACAGAAATGAAGCGCAATTAGTATGAAGAGAAGAAGGACTGATATTTGCAGAAGGAACAGTGAAGATTGAGACAATTGATTATTATTTTGGAAATTAACTGTACATTGTATGGTTATCAGATTTTAGTGAGATAGTCTGTCATTTGTGCTTAAATACATTCGATTGTATCCACTCGTGTTCTGTTCACTACAGTACTTGCATAAGTCCTTGTTTGTTATTCCGTTTTATTCTACCACATTGTACACAACATATCACTTGTTAAAACTACCATAGTTGATTCGATTACTAAGAAGGACTTGACATGCATGACATTGATTACCACGCAGTGATCAATCAATTGCGATTACATCTCAGTCCTACAGGAGATCGGTCGCGTCCCGAATAGCTCAGTTGTAACGTCTCTGACTGTGAAGCTGAGTGAAACGGGATCGAATCCGTCAGGGAGCATCAGTTCCCTCAAGATTACAGGTACACTTTGCTGACGAGTGCGAAGTAGCATGAAACCCGGATCCAGTGTTTCCTGTTGACCACTTCCAACCACCATCTTATTACTTAGCATTATTGAACAAGAAAAATAAACCAAGAACCATGTCATATTGAACTTGTTGGAATACTATTGTGGGAGATTGAAATGAATAATTTAGAATAATCTTGAAATTTCATTTTCAAGCCAGTCTATAGACGAAAACATTGAAAAAACTGTATATTAAACTAAGTTCATTAAATATTTTATTTTAATAGTTGAGATCATGAATCCATTAGAGCTAGACCACCATGAAAAACCTGGAAGCACTGGACGACCGTTTTGTCCTATTGTGAGACTCTTCAGCAGCATTGGTAATCACGAAAGATTGAAAATATGTATCAATGCTAAGGTTGGATTTGATAATTATTAGTGACTTTTAAACAATGTACAACTACGATGTACATTAATGAAATGATTTAAACATAAACAAAACAATCGTTTAATTCATTTTTTTATTAGTCGCTTGAATCTTCCCATTGATGTTTAGGAGTGCGATTCATCAGTCTCTTATCGGCAAACGTGCATCTTGTAAGGAATGCCCAGATATTGCCTTAATTCCCAAGTATTATAAGTCCCGAAAACAATATCAACTCTAGGATGTAGGTAAACCCAGCTGATGAGTCTCAAATAGGACGAAATAGACGTCCTAGATTCCACTGCTAGTTACCATCATCTTAACTTATAAAAATGGTACATTATTGAAAAGCATTCAACAAGATGGAATTACCGCTTTAAAAAGTTGTTACAATTCTTAATCATTCAAACTTACATTACCTATTCACGTTAACTAGTGCTTGATCTCACTTTCTACAGTGTTCTATGTAGAATTAAATGGTAAATAGAGGTAACATTTTTATATTTAAACATTTTCAGATCTGAATTTTTAACATTAGATCGTTCAGGTATAAACAATTTGGATGGTTCTAATTCACCAAATTCACGAATTAATCAAACAACTGGACGTATTAATCCATTATTAGAAAGAACAGCTTCAAGTCCTGTAGTTAATATGGCTCCAACAATACGATCAGAAACTGTACCTGTAAGTAAATAGATTTATCTTTATATTATTATTAATGATATAGATATTTATGAAACATGATATCAATTTTTTCTGTTATATCCTGAAGAGATTTGTGAATGATAACTTTTGAGAACTATTTATGGACCAATATAATGGGTATATTTCTTTTTGTATAATTATTAAGTAAAGTAATTATTTATGCTTATAGTAAGCAAAGATGAATAGTAACTAGCAGTGGAATCTAGGACTCGCGCCACTTCGTCCTATTTGGGACTTGTCAGCTGGATGTACCTGCATCTCAGAGTTCATGTACACTCTGGGACTCGAACCCAGTACCTTCGCTTCAAACGCCATCGCGTTATCCACTCGGCCACTGAGTCCTGATAGCCACTTGCTTATGCGATGGGGTGAAGTTTGAATTCACAATATCGAAGCAATGCGCATAGTATGTACATATGCCAATTAGAGACTGACCAGTTGCAGTCCTAAACACATCGATGGGAAGATCCAAACAAACAATACTAAGTGAATTCATTATTATTGTACGATTTATCATTCCTAAGTTATGTCTTGTCTATCAATCACTATCTCCCTTATTCACAGTCACATTTGGCTAAGTCTTGTACAATTGTTTTCCTATTTTATAGTACAATGTGATCTGTCTGGTTGGTATATAAACTCAGTATGTTTGAGAATAATGATTCATATCGCAGAGGCTGTTCTGGACTTAACTGGCTAGGCTAGACAGAAGCAGGACCTAGAAGTACTCAAGACTGCTTGTACAGTTTCCGTGTGTCACTAATCCAATCGGTAATTCGCTGCTCTCTGATTGGCGGTTTTATCACATCATACGTTATCAATGTATTCACTCGGCCACAAGTTATAACACTAACTTTTACTGAATAATTTATTTTATTTATAGTTAAAGAGTTTGATAGTGGTAACTAGATATAAACGATTTTAAGGAAACTCTTAATCTAGATCCTGTATTACTTTCTACTATTCTTTATCTTTAAGATTCATAATTATACACTTCTGTGATTAGATTTCTTTATGAATAAATTTAAACAATTTAGATTTACAAACCTTTTACAAATTCTATTTTAATTTTATTTATATATTTGAAGACATAAATATTGATATAAGGGGGCACCAGATATATATCCGCCACACAAATCTCATTTGATTTGTGTGATGGCTGTGATACTGCCCAGGTGCCCAGACTGAAACAGGTGGTTTTCTTAGGAGGCCACACATGGAGCCTTTGACCTATAGGTTTGACCCAAAAGGCAGTGGAGCATCGTTAAGAGATGTAGTTCTATGGTAGCCGGTGACCAACAGTTGGTTCATACGCCATTTGTTCCCTCAGGATACTGGAGCCCATGTGGACTATTGGTTTGCAATCTGTAAATCTCAGAATAAATACAGAATTCTAAAAGAATTCCTCGCACCCCCCCCCGAAAAAATAAGAGTCTGAATTTATTTATTTTTTTTGTAACGCAATTTTATTAACACTAAAAATCTAATGGAAATAATTTTCTTAATCCTGAAAAGTTTTTCTTTCTTACCCAACTAAAATGGAATTAGCCAATAAACAATAACTACTCAAGGTCATCGGGTGAAAATTGTCCAAAATTTAGAACTGAAACCTTAGAAGGACAGTTAGATAGGTTGTTTTTTTGGTCGATTGAAGAAAGCTAAATTTAGACAGTGTGATTAGTATAGATTTCATGATGGTGAATTATATATTTACATATAATGGGGTAGTAGTAGTAGTAGTAGTAGTAGTAGTAGTGTAGTGAACAGAACACTAGTTGGGGACAATCGAATGTATTTAAGCAAAGATTACAGACTATCTCAGTAAATTCTGATTACCAAACAATGAACAGTCAATTGCAAATTAACAATCAATTGTTTCAATCTTCACTGTTTCTTCAATAATTCCATTGTTCATGCATTTTCCAAACGATTGCGCTTCATTTCAGTTCTTTCCTCATCAGTCTTCTTCCAAAATACATTCTATGTCTGACCCACACCATATACTACTTATATGGATATAAGTAGATCACACCACAGTAGTAGTAGAACAAACTAGGCATAACCCTTCCAAAAGTTTACTGGGTTGTGTTATAGATTCAGAAATTTTCGGTGTCATAAAAATGTTGATTTTTTGGTAAGTAATTAGTAACCTTCGAAATAAAAATCTTGATTGGATTAAAGAGAACTACTAAGGATTCAACTATTGCTATACTTGTAAAGGATTTGGAACTTGTTAATAGTTCTTACTCACTTACTTATTTATGCTTGTTACCCCTCGTCGAGGAGCATAGGCCGCTCACCAGCATTCTCCATCCAACTCTGTCTTGTGCCTTCCTTTCCAGTTCTTTCCAGTCAACATTAATCCTTTTCATATCTGCTTCTATTTCCCGGCATAATGTGTTCTTTGACCTTCCCCATTTCTGCTTCCCTTCCGGATTCCAAGTTAGGGATTGAGTCGTGATGCACAACAGTGATTCCCTTAATGTATGTCCTATCCACTTCCAACGTCTTTTCCTAATTTCCTCTTCAGCTGGAACCTGCTGGTTTGTCCTCTCCCATAAATCGCTGTTGCTGATAGTATCCGGCTAATGGATGTTGAGTATTTTGCGTAGACAAATGTTTATAAATACTTGTACCTTCCTGATGATGGTCGTAGTAGTTCACTACGTTTCAGCTCCGTACTTGTCAATAGTATCCAACCTTTAATAAAAAGAAACAGAAATCTGAATTTGATAGACTAAATTACTTGTTTACATAAGCTTGTAAACCCCAATGGAGCATAGGCCACCGACCAGCATTCTTCAACATACTCTGTCCTGAACAATCCTTTCTTGTTCTATCCAATTTTTGTTCATTCTTCTCATATCTGTCTACATTTCTCGGAGTAATGTGTTCTTTAGTCTTCGTCTTTTCTTTTGACCTTCAGCATTCCATGTGAGAGCTTATCTTGTGACGAAGTTGGGTGATTTCCTCAATGTTGATAGACTAAATGAACTAGGCTAATGATTGTCTTAGTCATTTTAAAAGTATATGTAAATATTGTTTTTGTGGTCATTGATATGGTTTGTAATGGATTTTGTTAACAAAACTGTATTCATTCTAGATCTTCTTGTAAAGGTTTGCATCGTTTTCCGTATTGTGAACAACCTTTTTTTTCTTTATGAAATATATTCTCAGTATATATAGTGCAAGCAGTGTCGAGCCACCTAGACTGGTGGCCACATTGCAACTCGATCGATAGCATTCGATCAGCACTAAGAAGGACCTGACATGCATGAGATTGATCACGACTCAGTGATCAATCAATTGTCATTCTTCACTTTGTCAAGTTCCATTTGAATAAACTTGATTATTTTACCTTATTTATTTCTCGTCCGCTTTCCTTTTTTACTGTTGTTTAGTTGATATGATATGTATCCAATACTAATTAGGATGGAAATGAAAACAATATGGCTTATTATTAGTTTACTGTAATTTAACCAATGTTTTTGTGAATAAGATGTTTTATCCTTCGGATGAAATTTATAAACTCCAAAGGTCTACACAATCTAGTCTACTTGGGGATTGACTTCCATTTTTCGTGTAATATACTCTATACATATTGTCCAGAATAACAATGAAGATTGCAAAGTTAAATTATTCAGCCTATAGAACGTAGTATAAAAATTTATCCATATTAATTTGATGTGAAAGAATTACCTCGTAAAGTACGTTTATCCTGAATCATCATTATAGTGTTCAGATTAGAAAAGGGTGATACTTCTGTTTGATGAGTGCTTTTAAACTACATTTTTGTTATCAGAAGAGGTTTTTGTGGAGATTTCAGTATTTTTCATAGTTGGAATCATGAGCCAATTGAAGCTAGACCACCAGGGAAAACCTGAAATCACTGGACGGCCGTTTCGTCCAATTATGGGACTCGTCAACAGTGCACATCCACGATCCCGCCTCACGAGATTCGAACCCAGGACCTACCAGTCTTGCGCTAGAGCATTTAACCGAGGAGTCCTACAATAGGACGAAGAGACCGTCTACTGCTTCCAGGTTTTCCCTGGTGGTCTAGCTTCAATAGACTCACGCTTTCAACTACTTTTTTTGTTTTTGATATTATCCTTAGGCTACTACTGTAAACTCTTTTGTTACTGTTAACACTGTGAGCTGGATAACTAGCTTGGCATTACTTACTTATCTAGAGGAGATCATTATTCTATGTGTGTAGGAAAGTTTATGTACCTCAAAGAGTTGTTATTTTCCCTTTAATTTTCTTCTTTCTCATCTATGATCTTGCATGGTCCAATAGTTTAAATCCAACAAGTTGCATCAATTCTCTGAAAGTGTCAAACTGCATAAAACCATAGCCCTGGGTTTCCTGACGAGGTCATCATTTGAAATACTGTGTTTGAGTTGATGTGTGTAAAAGATCTTCTTGTCTATCTTATTTTATTCTACTTCTACGTTGTATATCTTAGTATTGATACCTTTTATGACAGTAGCATGTACATTATATTGAATGACAAGAATTCAATCATGCACAACAATATTCTAATTAAATGTATAATAATATCAGAAGGGGTTTTTGTGAATATTTTGATAGTTGAGATCAAGCTTCCACGTTTCCATGGTGAACTAGCCTCAATTGACTCATGATCTCATCTATTACAGATATATAATAACTTATCGGGAAAATTGTTTTAAAGTTCCATTGACTAACTCAAAGTGAAAATTAAAAAAAACAATTTTCAAAGATAAATCTTTCATTGAGTAGTGGCTGTTGTCAGGTTTATTAGTTCTTATTGTTGATTAAAATCTTATCAACTGAGTTAAGAGCAAAGATAGATAGTAGCTAGCAGTGAAATCTAGTACGTGCGTTTCGTCCTATTTAGGACTCGACAGCTGGATGTACCTGCATCTCAGAGTTGATTGTCACTCTAAGACTCGAACCCACTATGTTTCGCTTCAAATGCCATCGCGTTACCCAC